TTTCCTTTCACCATCAGACACATCCACAACTGAGCGTCCTTTCAGCTTTGACCCAGCCACTTCACTCTTTCTGGGGTTACTTGTACTTGCCCTCTGCTCTTCCCCAGTAGCATATTGGACACCTTCCAACATGAGGGGCTCATCTTCTGGTGTCATATCTTTTAGCCTTTTGTTACTGTCCATGGGGTTTTCTTGGCAAAGATACTGGAGTGGGTTGCCATTTCCTTCTCCAGTGGATCACATTTTGTCTGAGTTCTCTGCCGTGGCCTGTCCATCCTGGGTGGCCTTCCACAACATATCCCACAGCCTCATTGAACCATGCAAGCCCCCTCACCACATCAAGGCAGTGATCCATGAGAGAGTTTCAACTGTTACCAACCATTTTTTCAGCCAACCAATGTATGACAGCTACAATTTTAGGAGTTTTTCAAAGGAGAGAGACTCCACAGTAACAACAGTCCACGTATATTCTGTCTACTTCCTTCAGAAGATACACTCACTTTCGATTAAGACCACTTTTCCTAAGTAACATTAATCAAATAACTAGTCCAAAACAATCACTGGAATCTTCAATTTACTCTCAGTTTTTCCTCTCTCACTCAACATTCAAACATAATCTCCCTCCTGATTAGATGTTGCTATGCTCTGTGCATTCAAAACTTGGTGACAGGAAATTGGGACATGACTACAACAGCAGGACAGCCACCCATCTATCACACTGCCCAGGGCAAACAGTATAATCAGAACTCAGAAGCATTGATAAGCCTCCAGTAAGCACAGTTATGAAATCAAAGTCACAGAATAATATGGACAAATGGTTATTATATAATTGCTAAGAAAACTGCAGACAGTTGTAAAATATGCATGCCAAGACAGCACCATCCACCAGCCCATAATTATGCAAAAGGCACAAAATTATCATATCGTAGTACTTGATGCATTTCATTTGATCACATAAAACTTTATCTCCTTGTAGTTCAGTAAAGTGTTAATATTCCATATATATTCCACAGCAGGAGATAGGCAAACTCATAAAGACATCTGTACAAAACTATAGTGCTTCCTTGGCCTGATCACAGAAAATGTAGAGAAAGGATCACAAAAGACTTTCATGCACATTTTCCACCTAGTAGTAAAGATACAGCTATGCATACGCAAAGAAAGATTTGAACTGCCAAGATCTAAGTAAACACAACCCTCAATATATCATCCTAAAATAAAAATAAAATCTAAATACAACCTGAACCAAATATCAGACTAAAAACAACTGAACACCAGACAAAGATTGAGTAAAAAGTAATATTTTACACTTTCTACCACAATTTTATAATCTCAAAAACTTCCTTAAAGACTAAGAATCTAGTAGCGCCTTAAAGACTAACAAAATTTGTGGTAGGGTATGAGCTTGGGCAATCAGACAGGAGAAAGTCTGTCCGTGGCCTGTAGGCAAGCATTAGAACCAAACTTTCCCCAGTGTCTTTTAACTCTGCTTAAGTGGCAGGGCAGCATGGGGTGCTGACAGCTGCAGGACCTTTCCCAGATGTTGCTGTCTGATCGTGCCCTTTAGATCCGTTAGGCATTCACAGCTGAGTTGGATCTAAATGCACGTCTGACTGCAGCCCTATAAAAGTTTACCAAGAGTATTCTCTTAGGCTCCAAGGAAACTGCATAGGATTGCAGCATTAAGTGCTTAGTAACAATAATATTCTTCAGGCATTTTGCTTCTGTAAGTCCCACCTTCAAAACTTAAAACACCAGCCATATTAAAATGCAGTGGTCCCTTCAGGCATGTCAGCATCTTACATTTTGCTTCTGTAAGTCCCACGTTCAAAACTTAAAACACCAGCCATATTAAAATGCAGTACCTTAATGCTATAAGCATAAAGTAAAAGTAAAATTCTGAATTAGGGCCTCCAACTTTTATAATTTCATAACATGTAACATCACATTTTATCATGTCACTAATGAGTTCCTGAGCTAAAGATAATACTCCCAACTCATCTAAAGTTAGCCATGACAAATTTCTACTGAAAACTAATAAAACCAATTAGTTGTGACTGGTTTTAGCTTAACGGCTTAGAAAAATACAAGAACTTATTTCCTAAGTGCAAAATTTTCCTTGGTGATTTAAATGCAACTTAGTTTATGCTGGCTATGATTGTTAAGTAGAAATGGTTGTTTCCTAATTTTATATGACCATGAATTGTATGCAAAAACAGCTTCCAACTGAACTTACATCATTCAAACCTGTCTTTTTACACTATTTGGTTGTTCCATATGATTTTAGTATACTGAGAGAAAGTACTCTGGTAAAGTTAGAATAAAAGTGTAAGTATACTTACTCCCAAAATTCCATGACTGGAGAAGTAGCATTTTGCAGAGACTGGTGAGTGCAGTTACTCATGTTAAGTTTTTGAAATTCCACACAATGTTCTACAAAAGAACCAAAAACCAGATTGCTGTGACATTTATTTTAAACTTTGAAGTTGCTTAGAATATGGCTGCAAGGTTCTGTCATATGCTTTGATAATTAATTCACAATGGTCCTTCTCAAAAAGATGTTCACCAAGGTTTTTTGTTTGTTAGCACTGTTTAAATTGAAAGAGCTGACCCAGTTTCTGAGGCAGAAGAAATAAACTTTGAGTTGCTCTGATTGCTAGGGAGTTAAAACATGCATGGCTTCAGTCAGCTGACTGCGGTTCAGTTCCCATTGACTAGAGGTGGCTTGGGAATCACTTTCTATCAGCAGAAGCTTAACAATGGTCTTAATATGGCAACGGGAAAAGCTACCATTTGGCACACATCTCTGGCATTAGAGAAATGGTGGAAACAGATCAAAGTGGTTGTCCATTGTTAAGTTGACACATATTAGTTGGACAGTGTTCAACACTGGCTAAGCTTTCCTGCTCAGATGCCAAAAATGACACTGAATCCCTATCATTTCTGATGGGCCTGGTGCAAGATTTGTAATTTACCTCCAAATATCCATAGATCTGAACAATGAACATAAGAACACAGCAACTGCAGTTTGGACTTAAATTATGGGGATACAGATACAAAGTATACCAAAGCAAAATACATATAATTTAAGACAGTCTGATCTCTTTCCAGTTCAATGGAATGACTCGGGATCAGACAAAAAGATCACTTATTTTAACATATTTTATACCACATTAAACTCTATAGGATAATAAATTATTACATGCTGTCTTCCATGAGGATTCCTCCACGATTCCATTCCTACTGTAATCCTAGACACACCTACAAATGTCAAGGAACCCTTCAAAATGGCATTCTGTTAGGTACAAAGAGCAACTGGCATGGCATAGTTCCCCCCATCTACTCCTGCCATGCACAAACAGAAGCACTTTGTGTACCCAGAGCACTAAGCCTATCTGGATCCCAGCCCTTCTGTTTTCACAGGCTATTTATTACTTTTGCCTATACAGTTATACAGAGTTTTCATAAATAAGCATATGGTCAGAACAACACTGCAATATTACATCACAACTGGTATATAACATTACATTTTAGTTTAGATTCTTTACTGAAATTTCTGAAAGAACATAAGCTGCATTAAACTTCTTTAAACTACACTAAATTAATGTGGGGTGCCAGTTTGTTAAATATATACATTCTCTGACACTACTACTAATAAACAACTACAGATCATGATGAATAATCAGTTTTCAAACCGACATGCTTCAAAACTTAGACGGAGGATTTGGAAAGACAAAGGCAAATTTGATTTTGATGTGTTTATCCTAGTAATTATCTTCCCTCTAAAACGTGTGTAATTTCAAAAGAACCAGATTCCCTTAAAAGCCAACAGCAACCTGGACCAAGGTAAAAATAATTATATCATACATTTTACAACCCTAATCTCTTTCCAGCATAATATAATCTATTCCATTTTATCCCACACCTCTTCCACTGAGCAGCTTAGAGTAGCACGCACAGTTTTCTCCATATCCACTACCACCCTAAATGGTAAGGTAACTGGTCCCACAGCTGCATTTACACATAAGATAAACTACATTCTAGGACATCAGATTATGAGGGGAGCCTAAATACAAAAAAATGCTGAATTTCGGTGTTGGGATAATACATATTTTTGGTAATACTATGGGGTCTCTTAACCTTGACATAGTTTAGGCCCTCACCATGCCTTAATATGGACCTGACTGGTCCAAAGTCACTCAGTGATTTTCATGGGAATTTGAACTCAGTTACATCCAATCCCAATTCATTACTCTAGCCATTACACAACAATGACACTCTATAAAGCCAATTTTCCACTCTTTTTTGTCTTTTTTCCCCATTTGAAAGTCATCTGTTCTTAACATCCCAAATCTTCTGTTGTCTTCATTTGGCCCAGCTTCAAACTACTAATTGGCACAAACTACTTTACTAATAAATACAGTAATTAAATGAGGGGTTTTTTTAAAAAAAACCTAGAGCCTTTTTAAAGGGTTCCAAGAAAAATACATGAAATATTATTTGAAATCAACATTAATTATTTCAAGTGAGCTGTGACACAAATTTCAATTCAAGTCTATTAACTTCCGCCATCATGCAGTTTGATCTCATAAGCATTACACTACTGTTCTTGCTTGAGCACATTCAAACAGGTAAATAAATATCTTCACAGTGCCCATACCTGTGTTCCATTCATGCCCACAAGTAGCCCAAGGAAGCTCTGAGGTAAAGCAGTTAAACAGATAAAAGATAGCCCATGCTAAAATAATGATGTAGTAAACATTCAAATGTGCTTCAATAACCTGGGTAGCATATCCAATACCTGTAAAGAACAAAGATATAGACTCAATTAGATATTAAATTTAAAACACACACACAAAAGCTAGTTGTTTGTTCAAATTCTAACATTCTCAAATCTTTCTTGTTCTAGCACATTAAGCTGAGCTACATCTTTCTAAGTCCATTGAAGTCAGTGGAAGTGGTGTGACTTTATTCAGGAATG